GACTAGTCGACTATCCAATAAGCTTCTGCTTATCAGACAGTCGAATAGACGCTTACATCCCTCACCAGTTTAGCCCCTCAGTTGCTTCCCTCGAGCTGGGCCCTTTTTACTCACGCCTGTCAGCCTGGAGAGACCGATTCGTCATCCTGCCACTGGAACTCCTCAGAGCACATCCCTCCAACCGAGCTCTGGCAGGTTTCCTCCGGCCCTGGGGTTTGCTGGTCAATGAACTTCCCAGGTGGCTGGCTGACCCATAGCTGCTTGTAGGTGGGCTAAGACGGGCTTGTTCCCCCTCAAGGAGCCCAGCTCAAGGAAATCGGGTCCTGATTCTACGTTCCTAGATTCTTAAGGCCGGAGGAAAACACTGGGATTCAAGGGGCCATCCTCAGACGCCTGAAGCTGTGCTTGTCCCACACGTGTCTGCTGCAATCTAGAATTCTCATTCATCTTTTTTGCTCCCCCTCCGGGGTATCTACTCACGAGGGGCAACAGTTACAATCGCTTCATGGGAAGGAGCTTCAAAAATGAACACGGCTCTCAGAAGAGGCTGGGAACGACTCGATTTTTATCGACAAATGTCCATAAACATTGATTTCACCATAGAAACGCAAGCCAGGGAAAACAAATTTCCATTGAGAATGTTAAAAATATACAAAGAAAAATGCTGCCTGAAAACATTTAGAGTTTGATTTAAGGGTATTTACTTTGTCAATGTTGTGTCAAAATACACAATTTTTTATATCAAGCTTAACTTTGAGTCTGAACGTCTGACATCCTCATCATCTGCCACCATCCTCAGCTTCCCGCCCCTATGAATATATAAACGCTACAACTACAACTCATAATTTTGCATAACTGTGAAATACATAAAAATTGAAAGCAATCAATATTATCCACCCCAATGATAAAACACTGAAATTAAATTCTGCCAAGCCTTTTAATAAAGAAAGGAAAGTTTGCTACATAGGAAGGAAAAAAAATGACAAGCATAATTTGGTACCTCAGATTAATCTGGTTTGAGAGCGTGGATAATTACAGCCAAAAGGAATGAAGACAACACACAAATGTAGGTTAACACATAAAGGGATTCAGTCTGTAAGGTTTTACACATCAGCATCTCAAAAGCATATTTGTAAATGTAATTATGGAAAGATTATAATGCATGTAATACCCCACGGGTCAAAATATAACTATTTAAAATAGGACAAGTGTAAAAAATAACCCAAACATTTAAAATAAACTGAGACCATGTATCTGAATTTGTTTTAAAAATATCTACAGTTAGATTGATTATTTACTAGGTATACATACACCGTGTCCTGCTATGCAGCATCTACCAACAGTTAGATTGATTATTTACTAGGTATACATACACTGTGTCCTGCTATGCAGCATCTACCATGCTATTCCAAGAGACCATTTCCAAGGGGGATGAGATAAGCCAGTCAGCCAGCCCTGCAATCTTCACCGAAGTGGAATTCACTTCAAATGCCTGGGTTCTTTAAAGAGGATGCTCCTAGATGAGCAAAACGAAACAGGAAGGCCTGGCCAATCACATGCTAAGATGGAGAAGAATGTTCCCTGAAGTGCCTCTCCTTCATGGGAGAGGACAACATGGGTGGCGTTGCCATGAGCAGCCGATTTTCTGATTACACTGATTCCCTTTGATCCAGTGCAGGACCATTTGTATTTAAGGAATACAGCTCTGAAAAGGAAGATAATATATTAGGGTGTCTTCTACTTCTCAAAAAATGCCGGAAATTCGTCAGCCCTTCTAATAGAATGGGTAATAACATGGCGATTTACTGTACTACAGTTAACGCTCCTGGGAAGAACTGCATCGAGTCTTTTTTGTTTCCTGTAGGAAAAGAGGATTGCCTTGTGGTTAAGGCACTGACCGGGGATTTAGGAGACCTGGATTGGAGTCTTGGCTCTGTCAGACTTCCTGTGTGCTCTTGGACAAGTCACTTAGTCTCTCTGTGCCTCGAGTCCCCATCTGTAAAATGGGGATAATAGTACTTCTCTACCATCCAGGGCTACGCAAGGATAAGTTCATTAATAGTTGTGGTGTCCTCGGCTATTACAGTGATTGGGGTCATAAGAATCCCTCGCAGCGATGGCCCGTCCATATAGGCGAACTAGGCAGTCGCTTAGGACGCCAAATGGTGGCACAATATCATTGAGGGGTTTGGAGGTGGGGGCACAGATTGCATGGTTCGCCTAGGGCGCCAGTTGCTGGCAGCTAGTCTAGGGCCGCCCGATTCCCTCGACAGACCAGGGTTCTACAGGGTACTATGCACAGTGGCTGCCAACCAAGCTAGCCACCTGCTTAATTTCCACTCAGGAGCAGAACTCAGATGCTTACAACACTGTGCATATAGAATCATAGAATAATAGGACTGGAAGGGACCTCGAGAGGTCATCGAGTCCAGCCCCCCGCCCTCAAGGCAGGACCAAGCTCCGTCTACACCATCCCTGACAGATGTCTATCTAACCTGTTCTTAAATATCTCCAGAGAGGGAGATTCCATCACCTCCCTTGGCAATTTATTCCAATATTTGACCACCCTGACAGTTAGGAATTTTTTCCTAATGTCCAATCTAAACCTCCCCTGCTGCACTTTAAGCCCATTACTCCTTGTCCTGTCCTCAGAAACCAAGAGGAACAAATTTTCTCTTTCCTCCTTGTGACACCCTTTTAGATATTTGAAAACCGCTATCATGTCCCCCCTTAATATGCTTAAGGGCTGTGCCGAATTGTGGTCCTTATCAGACTGAGCCCTTAGCACATACAGCTCTGAGCTCGTTAGCACTTAACTCCCATCAAAACCACGTCAGGGGATCACAGACAAGTACTTTAAGCCCTCAAATGTAGGTTTAGTAACAAAAGATGGCTTTGCCAACTCCGCTGGAGTAGAAAAACAATTGTGTTTGAAAAGGCTGAAGGCTGACAATTCAAACATTCCGGTGTTGCGCTGGAAACTCAAACGTCACTTTCCTTTTCCCTTGATCCTGGCTCTGTCTGGACTCACTAGCTGACAGTCACTCACGTGCATAAGTGTGCGAGGTAAGTGCACAGTTAGGCCCTTTCAACGGCTCAGTGGGGCAACACATGCATAGAAAATAACGCCCAAACATATCTGCAAGACAGCTGCTTAATGACATAAGCTTGGCTGAAGGGCGTGAGTAGCCCTCACATCTTCGAAAGCCATCAACACTAGGAGACACTTTATATTGATACCAGAAGGGTGGCTCAGAGCTGAAAGCAGAGTCTGAACATGGCATACAATTCCCATCTGGGAGCTAGATGACAGACTCGTCTCCTCAGGGAAGCTGCAGAAGCCCAGTGAAGCAGGGGTGGGGGAAACTTACTTTCAACCAGGGACCAATGACCCACAGGAAAATTAGTTGAGGCTGCACACAAGCAAAATCTGCTCCCAAGATGGGAAGCAATACAAAACAGACACCTCTGTCACTCACAGCGACCTGGGCGTGCTCTACACTCCAGCCATGTGGCGGGATGGGGGGGAGTATCCAGGCTTGCAGTCTCCCGGCCCATTGCCATGAGCTGGATCACATTAAGCTGGGGGCTAGATCCAGCCTGTGCGCTGAAGATTTCCCACTCCGACACCGGCCGTCAACGAAACCGGATTATGCAAAAGCCTCACACAGATACAATGTGGAAAAACTGCCCTGGCAGAATGGGAAAAGAGGATGGAGAAGCCTCTGGCACTAGGAAGGCAGGATAAGGGATGTGCTCAGTGTAGGGATGGGATCTGGAGTGGCCAGGTCATTTGCCTAGGGACCCGCCCCAAGCTGCCCCAGTGGCACCCTCCCCCACCCATCCTGGAAGTGACCAGACAAGCCAATATTTTCTCCTTCAGTCTGATGAAGCTTCTGGTGAGATTTCTGATTTTAGAAACCCACCACAAATCTGCCTTCTGCTTTTAATTGAGCAGTGGTCTCTTTTCTAAGGCTCAGCAGTGACAGCCTGTCCCTTTGGGAATCTCACAGCAGTTTTTAGCCGGCTGAGCTATGTGGCAGGAGACCATAAGCATTCCTTCAAGACAGCTGCACAAAACTCACAAAAATTAAAGCAGGCTTTACAGGCTCTTTAAAAAGAAAGCTGCTTTAAAAAATAGTTCTATGGAGAGGGAGAGGTTACCAAGGCTGAGAGGATCACACCACTACAAATAAACGCACACTGGGCTTATCTGTTTTTCCCCTAATTTTTACCACCCAGGCCTCTCTCTCTTGTGCACAGTGCACAGGCAGGAGCCCTAAAATAAACCTTCCTGAAGTTCATTTTCTCACCTAGTTCGCATAACTTCCACTTGCAACTACGTTAGTATTCAGCGTTACACCAGGAATACTCTGTACGTGGCAGTCACCCCGCGGCTGCGGCTATGGGTTTGTCTGCACTACAGTTACCAGTGTCGCAGGGCGTGCGGAGTGGGCTAGGAGAATTAAAGCATGGTGTGGGCTGCTGCTAGTGGCCAGAGTAGAAAGCCAGAGGTCCAGGCAGGTTTTTGCTAATGTGGGTTCACCAATCGGGTACCGAAATTAGAGCTAGCCTGGGGATGTCTACACAAACGGTCATCGTGACCCATGAGCGCAGTGCAGATATACCCTCCTGCCCCACGCGCCTCATACTGGAGCTCTCGCTGAACCCGGAGTTCACACTAAACCGGAGCAGGCCAGAGCTGACGCAACTTTCGGTTTCTGAGATGGGTAAGCCATGATCTGAGCCATTTAGGCATCTCTGGTTGGGGGTGGAACGTTAGCCGGAGGGGGCGGGAAGAAGGTTCCGTCTGGTCTGTATGGTGGTTGCACATCTCCTGGCAAACCTGATAGGACTCAAGTTTGCTCCTGGGTCCCTGACCATAAGAGTCCCCCTCTCCGTTATAAGTCAACATGGAAGCTCCCAGGTTCCCTCCCACCCCAGAGGTGGCTGCATTTGCGGTGCCTCTATATACACACTTCGAACACACATTGGGATCCTTGACATTGAAAGTCACTTTTATAAATATGAAAAAAAAACTGAACATTTTCTGTCGCCTAACATTCAATACAATGTATTGATCCAAGTCCTTGACCAAGCCATCACCAAATAAAAACCTTTCAGACCTAAAAAAAAGAAAAGAAAAAGATTAAATAAATAATGATACTTGACAAGCATTAACGAATGAATTCACCATCAATAAGTAAAAAATTAAATGTGTAAAATGATCAACATAAAGTGTCAAACCTACAGAAAAACAAAACCCTTCTCGCGATGAAGTTGGAAACAACCAAAATGCACCCTTTTGTCCCTGCTCCAGGACACACATACATGCCTCTACTGCAGCTGTGTACAATATGTCCTCTCCAAAACAGAACTTGTGAACTCCTGGCTTTCAAGAGATGTACTTGGGTTTTGGCATTACAGGTTGCACCTGTCTTATCTGAGACACTGTCGTTTGGCAACCGCTGTGGCCTGGCAGGACCGCGGATGCTGCTAGACCAGAGAACCCCAGCCGCAGAGGTTGAGAGCAGAGCCGGTCTGGTCAGCAGCAGCCTGCAAGGCCAGTGACCAGGGGACGGGGAACTCCGGGCTAAGCTGCTGCCCCACAAGTGGGCTGTGGGCAGCAAAGGCCTGCAGGTGGGTCAAGCCTCTGGATTCTCCAGGAGCTGCGGCCAGGAGGGAGCTCCAGGAGAGCCCGGATGCCTGAACTCCCTTGCTCCGGCAAATTCCCTTGTTCGGCACCACTCTGGTCCCAGGGGTGCCAGACCAGCGAAGTTCAACCTGTACATTTAGATTCATTTTTAAATGATTTTCTATAGAAAGTAAAAAAAAAAAAAAGACCATTATATGTACGTGTATGCTGCTGCAGACATGACATTTAGATATTTCAGCTGAGAGCTCAAGTTGTCAGCGCCACTAATAGCCAGATCCTCAGTTGGTGCAAATCAGCAGAGACTTTTCTTTGCTATTTGACTAGACCAACTCCAGTAGTAGAGGCCTGGTCCTGCTGGGATCCACTAAAATGAGGATCCTGGTGCCCACAGGACTCTGCACAGGTGCAAGGGCACAGACTAGCGATTCCCACAGCAGGATCAAGTGCCAAAGTCAAGTCACTTTTACTGCAGTTTTTCCACTGACTTCAGTGGGGGCCAGGACTTTGTTCCACCTGAAAGAGGAGGTAAGGAGTTATTTTGTAATGCTGCTGGACTTTACTGCTAAAGAAAAACCTCACTACCACAAAGGAAGTTCCTTGGCAGTATTTCCTTCAATTTTTCCCCACCTGCATGTGGAATAAATTTTATTGTATGCACCAACACACATGGGTGCAATGCTAATCAGCTGGGTGGCATTTGAATCTCTCCTGGGAGGCCACCAAAACATAAGCTTGCAGGGAACACTTTTCCTGGGGGGTTGGGATTATTGAAAACAGCAATTTGAAAGCAGTTGCTGGTTACAACTATGTATAACTTATGGTTGCTTCACTAGCCAGCAATAAAATCATATGGTCTGCAGTGTCCCTGAGCTCTTGTTACATTCATGATGACTTTGTAGTCAGGATGTAGTCCTTTCCATATGGAACCCAGGCCCCCAAAGATCCAACCTGTTGAGGGGTGTCTTTTCATTAAGGCTTTTAGGAAGAATAGCTTTGTTAAAATCCACCATGATAGCCATAGTGCTTTGTCAGCGATTCCGCGATGCTGGTAGATGGTTTTGATTAAAATAAATATTGATACATTTCTAACTGCTAAGCTTTTACAACGTAAGTGCAGGTATACAAGCTGCACTGATATTGGTAGATGAAGTTACAGGTGGCTTTACTAAGGATGCGTCGGACAGGGTTACAACCATTGGCTTGGCTATACATTTTGAAGCAGGAGGTTATACAGGGTTCTGAGACTTGTAGCCATCAGTGAATTGTACTTTTCCTGTATGGCCTGTGGGGGAGATCTTCACAGGTACAAAGGAGAGTCGGGCGCCCAGCTCTCAAGGGCTGGGCATATGAACAGAGTGGCTAATTGCCCTATGTACATTTGAAAATCCACTCTCACGCAAGGCCTTGTCAACACTAGCTAGTTGTATCACTAACTACACCTGCATAGTAAAAGCAGTACAACTCCTAGTGTGGCGTTATACAGGAGGGAAAACGTTTTAAACCAGGCCAGGTTTACACTCAAGTTAGGTTGACCGCGCTACGTTACGTGAGTGTGAAAAATTCACCCTCTTGAATGTAGCAGTAGAAGAATTTTTCCATCAACCTAGCTACCAACACTTGGAGAGCTAGATTACCTATGGCAACTGGAGAACTCACTGCTGGTACTGAGTGCATAGAGTACTGCTGTTGTACTACTATGGTGTGTTAAGCACACCCCCCCAGTGGAGCTATTTCTGTATGAGCCTGAGAATAGCTACACTTGGGAAAGGCACCTTTATATCATGTAACCTTGTCCATGTTAGGTGTGGTACCAAACAGCTCTATTGGTACGAGATTTCTCCCGTCCCCAACCCAAACCGACAGTTGCGCTCATACTACTTTTGAATGCAGATGCCTTATTCCAAAAACATGGTTAGCCGTAGCAAAGTCACAAAACATTTTAGAACATAAATTCCTTGTAAAATAGTCAGATAAAAGCTTAGCATGTCATCATGCATGAATTCTTATTTTTACAGGAATTTTTATCAACTCTGAATTATAATCATTCACTACTATATATTGCGGTCTTCTAGACTTGTAAAACCATTTGACTTCGGAGGACAGCATATCAAATGCTATGAAATAATGCAGGATGTACGCTCACTGATCTGTTTAAAAGAATGTTTCGTTTAATTATTAAGCTTGTCCTAACTTTGTACCTAGGTATATTTGTGTTTAAGTGTTTCCCTAAATATAGGTTTAAATCTGCTAGTATTTACAAGCCAAACTGAGTCTACTGGATGAAATGTGTGTCTAAAACAGAGTAATCTTAAGTGAGTTGTTCTGTCTGGTAAAATGCTGCATTACCTTCCCACCTGTTCCAACAACAATTGCTACTGGGGAAAATACAGAATGAAGAATTATGGGAATGTAAAATGCTGTATTCACAAAACTACAAGCTATATGGTAATAAGGAACAGTCCTCTAATGAAGAAGGAATTGGGGTGTGAAGATATAGCAATGAAAAAAAAGAAGAAAAAGCCCTATTTATTTTTTCCATTACCATTTTGTTTGAAGTTGTTCAGGGCGATGATCTCAGAAACTTCTAGCAGGAAATCAGATGATCTCAAAATAACCTCAATTCAGTCTTAATGCTTCGTGTCTTTCACTTAAGCTAAAATAAAAGGTACACATGAATGATTATGAAATGATAAAACATGAAATTGAAAATAATGGGTTACTGTACCTCGCAGCTGTACTAATGCACTTTGTACATGAAGAGTTGAAACCATTTCTACCCAGGAGGAGGGACAAAAATGTATATACATTTACAGTACATACATTTGAACAATCAATGTGCAAGTTTATCAAAAAATACTATTACAAAATGGAAATAATTTAGGTTTTGGCCCAATATTTCCATTACATGTACTAACGTCTGAGGACAACAATGAAATTTGGCATAAAGGGAAAAATGTTTGACATGGATATATGAACGTTTTAGGTTATGAGGCATTTTACCGGTTATGTTGTACCACACTGACTACAAACAACATCTGATGGGAAACAGTGAGCTATTTAACAGACTTAATTCATCATGTGTGTGCACCTGATGCCACCTTAAAATATTCAAACAGACTGTCTCAAAGCAGAGTCATCTTTACGGTCATTCTCCTTGATTTCATACAAAGACCCAGCTAATAATATATGTTTTCCTATCAGCATGAAGTCTGCATTTCAAATTTTCTGCATTGACACTACAAGAACTAATCCTATTATTTTCTTAACAGAGTTTGAATAGACATCTCCCACATACTCCTTCCTATTGTAAATTTAACCTACATGTTAATTCACTTATCCAGCTCTCAAAGCTGCTTTTCCTTCCAACTGGGATTTAATGGAACAAAATCCTCTCTTTTCTAGTTTGATATCAGAGAGAAACAAGTCTTTCAAAATTAATGGAAGTTTGTAGACCTTTCAGTTCGTGAACAATCATCATTCCAACATGTTACGCAAAAATTCCAGCACCAACTTCAGGGCAGGGAATACAAACACATTATCTCCCCAGTTTATAACTGTCAGAAATTGAAGAGATTTACAGGACAATGATGAGAATGATATTTTGACCAAGCGAGTCATGTTTGACCAAAAGAAATAGCAATCACTTCTTGAGACCTTGGCTTCCTCTTCGATGAGCTATACAATTCAGAGGTTACTACCAGAAAAATGAAGTAGGCAAAAAAACAAAAAACAAAACAGAATTCTGTTGTTAATTGTGACGGACTTTGAAACAATTTTTGGCCACACAGTGTTCAGCAATGCTCTCATTTCTATAGGCTTAAAAAAAACAAGAGAATATTAAAATGTGCAATTCATTTTCTCCCTCTCTCGCCCTCAGCCTCTCAAAGGTGCAATAGCTGAGTGGACTGTCATCTGAAGAAGTAGGTTGTGCCCATGAAAACTCACGATACCAACTACATGTTTTGTTAGTCTTTAAGACTATTTGTTGCTTTTTAAGTTTTTTCTGATAGTACTGTTACACGATCTACTACATATTGGATATTTACTAGCAAACAAAGGAATAGTAGGATTAAATTATAATTATGAAAATAAATCAACATTTCTTTTTGTGATACCTCATGCATAAGGTTGGGAGGGGGATTGTGGTTGTGGTTTTTTTGGGGGGGGGCTGCGGGGATTGTGATTATTTAACTACTTACTAATTCACAACATTCAGAGACATTCAGCAGGTCTGCCAGTCACTTGTGTGAAGTACACTTCTATTTGAAAATACAGATCAACCCTGCTGTAGGCACACAGCAGACGTTGAGAGTGATAAGAGGTAGATATCTGAAAAAAGGCCAGAAGTGGGCTTGCTCACACACTACACTGTACACTGATGTGCAATAATGAATGCCTCCCACAAATGGCACACTCAAAGCGTTAAGTATGTGCTCAAAGCTCTCCGTGCAGAAGGAAAAGGAAAACAGTGACGACAGACTATATCCTCCGTTAGTATAAGTTATCAAAACCTCATTGACTTCTATAGAGCTATGACAACGTATAGCAGCTGAGGATCTAATCCATTATATCTGCGAGACATGCTACAGAGACATGCCAAATCATCGTTTACTCATTTTTCCAGCTCTTTTATGAATGCTGAGCAGCAACAGTCCCAGAGTAGGTCCTTAGAAGACACTACTATTTACTTCTCTCCATAGTGAAATCTATGAACAGGAAACAATAGACAGGAAGACCCAGCCAGATTTCACTGTGGGGTATGTTAAATAGGAGGCTCCCCCAAGGATCTGTACTGGGGTCATTGCTGTTCAACATTTATAAAATCTCTGGAAAAAAATGGGTAAGAGGTGAGTTGGCAAAGTCTGCAGATGACAAAATTACTCAAGGTTTGACTTAACTAGGAAAAGTTGCAAAGGAATTTCATAAAAGTGGATAAGTGTGCAACAAAACGGCAGAAGACATTCGATGTTGGTAAATGCAAAATCACGCCAATTGGAAAAAACCCACAGTGCAACTATGTCTATAAAATGTTAAGTGGTAACAGCAAAGTTAGAAACAAAGAAAGAGCCTTTAGGCAGAATCATTGTGGATAGTGCTCCGAAATCATCGGCTCCACCTCCAGCGGCAGGCCAAAAAGCTAGCAATTTTAGTAACCACTAGGAAAACGATAGGGAAGACGACACAGTGTCCTAATGCCAACAGGGAAATCCATGGTATGCCCACACCTTGAATACTAAATGCTGCTCTAGGCTTCCACATCTCAAATATGATCCACTGGAATTAGAAAAAGTACAGAAAAGGGCAACAAAAGTGATTAGGGGCATGGAACAGCTTCCACAAGAAAAAAAAAGGATTGGGCTTATTTGGATTAGAAGAAAAGATGATTAACGGGGGAATATAGAATCACAGAACACTAGAACTGGAAGGGACCTCGAGAGGTCATCGAGTCCAGTCCCCTGCCCTCATGGCAGGACCAAGCACCATCTGACCATCCCTGACAGGTGTCTGTCCAACCTGCTCTTAAATATCTCCAGTGATGGGGATTCCACAACCTCCACAGGCAACTTATGCCAGCGTTTCACCACCCTGACAGGTAGGAAGTTTTTCCTAATGTCCAACGTAAACCTCCCTTGCTGCAGTTTAAGCCCATTGCTATGAGACGAATGTCTATAAAATCATGAACAATAAGTTCTATTTATCCCTTCACATAACACCAGAATAAGACCCAATACAATTTACAGGCAACAAGTTTAAAATAAACACAAGGAAGTGCAATGCACAAATAACCTATGGAACTCATTGCCAAGGGATGCTGTGAAGTATAAATGGATTCAGACAGGAACTCAATACATTCATGTAGGATAGGCTATCAATGGCTATTGGCCAAGATTGTCAGGGATGCAACCACACTCAGAGAAGCTGAGACTAGATGACAGGATGGGGCACCCAATAAATTGCCCTGTTCACAGATCCTCTCTGAAATATTTGGCACCAGTCACTGTTGGAAGACAGGATACTGGGCTAGATGGACCATTAGTCTGACCCTGTATGGCCATTCTTGCATTGTGACTTTCAGTGGGACTTTCCCTTTGATGTCTTTGAAAATCCCCCTATCTAAGCAAATATTTTCTCCACTGACTGAGTGTGCATTCAGGAGTATATCACGTCCGTTATAACCTCTCCGGGTTGTTCTGACACGTTCTTGCAAGCCTCCGACTCCTTTCCCATTAAATACCTTTGGGAAATTCTACTATTTCAGATTTTTGTACCCATTGCACCTGCTTACAAAAACATTTATCCAGTGATTAGAAATTTTTTTCCAAGCAGTTCATTGACAACTTTTACTTTGTTCCCTCTTGTTCACAGACCTATCATCACGCAGCTTCCCCACCCCTTTGCATGTCTCCACCATATTCCTTCCTACACCAATCTCTAGCTGATAAAAATTACAGCACTAGGAGTACTAGACAGTCTGTAGCTATGCAGTGGAGATGCAGCCCTGCTCCACATTTTTAATGTACCATTCCCACCATCTAAACCCCAAACATTCTTTTAACCCCAGATCTTACATGTATCTTAACCTATCATTTAACCCTAACAGCTGATTAATTTCTCACATCTGATGTCATTTTCAGCTAGATGCACAAGACACTTTAGGTCTTCCTTTCGTTGGCTCCAGCTGAGTCGTCCCATGTTTATCTTCAAATCTCAGATCTCTATTCCCTTAAGTCATTTTCATCCTTACATGTTGTACATTTGAGGCTGGCTTTTCTCTTTCCTTACTTTCAATCTTAATAAATGCTAGCGCACACACCTGCTTATTTATTTCTCTTCAGTCCTCAAGCTGAGTACATATATCTGTCTCTATTTCCACTTCATTTCTGAAGCTATCTATAACAAACCATACAACTCTGAATCTGTAGCAATCAGTCCCATCGTTCCCTTATCTACACAATTTTCTAGGTCCTGTGCCAATAGAAAAATTAGTGTTTTTCTGTTAAGGTTTTTTCCTGTTTGTTTTCAAAATCTGAGAACTTGGAACTGCCCTCTGGTCAAATACTGGCCTCTTAGGTTGATTTTTTGGCTACCGAGTTAACTCCCATATTGAACAAAGCTTGATGTCTTTAAGAACTATCTTAAAACCCCTCATTTTGTGTTCTATTTCAGCATCAACAACTGCAACCATTCAAAAGTCATTATTAATCGGGGGCCCCAACCTTGAAAGAACCCATGATATTAGGGATATTAAATTTAGATTAATTAGCTAATTGAATAGTCGATGTAATTTACATCGACTATTCGATTAGTTGATAAGGGCAGCTCCGCCTTTGAAGTGTAACAGACGTAGGGCTGTTGCTACACTTCAAAAGCAAAAACTCTGTGGGAAGCATGGGGGGGTCTGCTGGGGACTCAGTCCCCAGCAGACTGGTGCTGTCACTTTGAAATGCGCCACTGGCAGCCCATCATTAGTCTCCTCCTGTCATTTCAAAGTAGCAGTGCCGTGTGGAACCCAAGATCAGGTTGGGAGTCCCGGGCTCCACATGGCAGTGCTGCTTTGAAACACCAGGAGGAGCCTGACACCAGGTTCCCGTGGCAGCATTTCAAAGTGGCAATGCCAGGTGGAGCCTCAGGCTCCATGTGGCATTGCCGCTT